TGTAAATTCTTTAAGTTTGGTTGTATCAATATTTTAATAAGAAAATAAGATATTTTTATAAAAATTAATCTACCAGTATGTCTAAAAAAATTTAAAAAGAATCTGGCGTCATCTACAATTTTAAAACCAAAGCATGTTTGACGTATAAAGGTTTATTGAACTTGTCAAGCAGACAGTTCATAGTTGCAGTTCATTGGTTTATTATATATTCTAGTCTGCTAAGTAGTGGTCGAGTGCTTATAACAGTATAATGTATTTTTAATTGACATTTCTATCAATGTGTTACATATTTAATTAAAAAAATGGTTAACAATAAGTTGAAATTGATAGCCGAAAATTATTTTGGCAGTTTAAACCCTATTGCTGCAAGAATACAAAACGATATAAAAGAAATACAACTATCCTATGACAACCTTTGGGGTAGTTTAAAAGTTATGAACAGAATGAAATTATTGATGAATCAATTATAAAACCAGAGATCGCTTTACAATACGCTTTATTGACACCTACAGAGGAGAAGAATATTAGCTTTGATGAAGGGTTACATTGTTACAACAGCAATCTAGTAACTGGTCAAAAAATTGTGCAGGATGAAAATTTTGCTTACCGAGACGAGCATTCAGCTCCTTTCAATATGAAGACTGCCAGTCAATTAAATTGAATATTTTTGAAGTAGAAAAATAACAAAACCTCATGTAAAACATTTGCCTGGTGCAATAAATGAACCTAAACAGGAAGTCGAAGAATTAAATAACCATGAATCTTCTAAACCTGATGATTCCACAATACCTAAAATAATTAAACCACCAAATGAAGCCAAATTTTTATCTGAATTAAAATCAAGAACACAAATGAAGGGCGAAGAATCTATTGCTTACAACGAAATGAATTATTTAAAAGATGAAAACATAATACCAGATATGGGTGAAATTAATTTAGATACAGTAGATAGTATTGATACTATTAAGACTGGATATGATTTTCTGGATAACTGGTAAAACTGTTTGGAAAACAGTATCACAAATTTTATTTATACTAATATTTTATATTTACAATCTATTTCATATATGTTTAAACTAAATATCCTTAATGTTTAGATGTTGTGACTGATTTTTATGTATCAAACTGATTAATATATATGTTATATACTAAATTTATTTTTGCTTTTCATTACATCTTCTCTTCCCAGAGATTTCACTTTCTAATGAATTCATAATAGGTATACTAAACACAGTTTTTAAATAATCTGCATCTAATTTACTTAACTTATAGATAACTTTCTCATAATCAAATAAACAGAAAATAACTGTTGTTTATGTAAATAGATTTATATATTCAGCATAAAATTAAGTTTTATAATATAAATGAAATCTTTTTTACTTTATTTATATAATTACCAATAATGAATGTTAATTCTGAAAAAAAATAGTCATAAAAACTAAAAAATTAAAAAAATGCCCAAAATCAGTTTGAAACCACCCAAGTAGTTCAATATTTTTTCAAATGAAATAATTGTTTCATTTGAAAAAATATTTATATTTGCTTTTTAATTAAAATATTTATTTTTGCGTTTTAATTAAAAATTCCATGTTCATTATTAACTTCTCATAGGGTAAGTGATGGGTAAGTTATAGTAATTGTCTAAAAATCAATATCCAAAATTTTTCTTTTAAATCTAAAAATGATTTAGATTTTATTTTTTTATGTTGGCTAAATTCTAAAGCTAACTTCAAATAATTAATTTTAATCCTTTTGACTCGGATGCCGCCGCTCCGGCGGCAAAATTCATATAAATCTCGGAATTCGCGAGTGGAACGTGTTAACTTTGCAATTCAGTTTATAAATTTCTTATCAATTTAAAACATTCAATACTTCTCCACTCAATACCGTAATGAAATAATTTAGTAGTAGTACAGACAATTTCAGAAAATAATGATTTTCTATGCACGATACCATGCGACACTAGTTAAAATATGATTTTGACTAAACAAACAAATTTTAAGAAGGTTTAAATATAATTTTAAAAATAAACGAAACGAAAAATTATAAATTACATAAAATTTAAATTATTAAGCGGTGGGAATTAGTATGTCATTATTCCATGCCTCGTAAAGTAGCATTCAATTAATTTTACACGAAATTTTGTTTTTTTTCTAATACCTTCAATTTTAGGTACTTATAATTTGTGCAGTTGGCTTAATAAAAGTTAATTAAAATGAATAATTAATAAATTGAAATTTTAAAGAGCCGGAAGAGTCTCAATTTCATTTATACCAATCTATACCACGGCAATCACATGAGTCATCTATGGGTGTGGATTGACGCTCAACTAGTGTACTGAAGGATGATTTATTTTCACTTTTAAGTTTACTAACATGGCGTCTTTGTGTACACAGTGGCTTGTTTTAGCTTTTATTGTTATTTTAATTAGTTTAAGTGAGTTAATTACAAAATATTTAATATAGTTAAAGTTCAATAATTATATGTTAAGTTAAAATATTACTTTTTGCTGTTTGCATAAATAAACACATCTATTTTTTATGTTAATGCCGTCGTGTCATGGCGACGTTCGAAAATTTTATTGACGAGTTTAATTACTCTAAATCTAAATCAAATGCTTATTAAACAAAATATATTTAATTTGTGTGATACTTTTAGCTAATGGACAACGCACGCCAACAATTTCATACATATCTCAAGAACAAATTAAAGATATTGGAGGAACCGTAGAATTACAATGCTCAGTGCAGTATGCCAAGGAATATCCAGTTTTATGGGTAAAATATATTATGAAATTTAAAAAATATCAATGAGTAAGTGCATAATGATTGTCCTTTTTTGTAGATCAAAAACGATCGTGGAGGTTCTACAATACTTTTGCCTTTGTCAACTGGCAGTACTTTGATTATAAAAGACTCAAGGTTTTCCTTAAGATTTGATGATGCCAGTTCTACATATATTCTACAGGTAGTAAATGCTTTCTTTTAAAAATTATAATTGAAAAAACTTGAAATCTTTATTGAAATATAATTTGTTTTTATTTAAATTTAAAACTCAAATTTAATATTTGTATATATATATATATATATATATATATATATATATATTTATGTGAATGGTTTATCAGTTTTCATCTTCTTCCTCTTCTTCACCCTCCAGTTCTGCATATTCATTGACTTGGACGTCTTCTTTTTCATCAACTTTTCCATCATCTGTTTGAATTTGCTCTTGGTCAATTTGTGTTTCTAGGTTATAAATATTGCTTTCTTCACTTCTTCACTTCCTTCTTCAGATGGTACTATTTCTTCAAATTCTTCCTCATCTACTAAAGTTGTTGGGTAGCTAACTTGTTCATCTCCAACATACTCTTCATATACTGATTCTTCAGCCAGTTCTTCACAGCTTCTCGTTCAGCGACATATTGTCTGAAATTTCTTTGTATAAGGGTAGCAGCTGCATTGAGTTCAGGATCACTTACTGATATTTTGAATACGGGTTCTTTTTTTTCTTCTTCCTCTTCTTCTCTTCTTTCTTTATATGAAGAAGGTACACGAATCCACTCTCTGAATTTTTGTTGAATTAATTCAGCAGCATCCTCAACTTCATCAACATTTTCGTCTACCCATTGTTTAAATTCAGCTTCTTCTTTTTTTCCTTTCTCTTCTGTTCTTCCTCTTTCCTCCTTATCTCTGCTATATTCTTCCTGTGGTAATAACCTCTATACAATGCTTGTATTAGAGTGGCCGCCTGTTGTTTCTGGGTTTCTGTTGGTTTAGTCTTTGCATATAATTCCATTGTATGCCTTGCCGCTTTTTGCCAATTAACACCTGTTTCTTTACATATTTTATCTTCAAGCATCTGTCTTTCCATGTATTCTCTAAATGCAGATTGTATTACAACTGCAGCTTTGACAGCCTCGGCCGGTTTTACTTTTGTCATTTGTATAATTCTTTGAAGAATTTCAAATTCTTTCAACTTTTCTTGTGAACCTTTTTGTCTAGCATCAGTATGCTCCTTAAAGGCTATTTGGACAACACGAGCTGCATCTTCAGCTTGTTCTCTGGTCATTCCTGTTCGCATAAGCAATTCTCCAATAGTGGCACTCGCATCTGCCAAGCTAGTAACTACACGGGCAGCTATTCGAGCATGTTCTCTAGTTATTAAAAGTGCTTCTAGATAATCAGCAATAAAACTATAAACTTCTATTGGTTCAGATTTCAGAACCTCTCTCGTTATATCCATCATAAGCTCTCTTAGCCCGTCAGGTATTGAACAAACATATTTCGAACCCTGTATCTGCAGCATATAATCCATAATTGTTGTTTGTGTAAACTATTATACAAATATAAGAAAATATGATTTGCCAGGAATTTTAATATTTGATTCACATATTTATTTTAAACTTTACAAACAATTGATACACAGTTATATGTCTATATAGATATAATTTTTAAATTTCATCTTTTTTTTTATTACTCTAGGTTTTTTATAACTACTTTGATATAACTATAATTTTACAGTTATTATATTAGTTTTAAATTTGTGCATTTTCTTCTATCTTCTATTTAAAAATCATTATGAATATAATATTTTCTAACATATTCAATTTTTATTTCTCAATATAGCTACAATTTTATTTTTATTTACTTTTAACTGCATTAACATTATTCTATTGTGTCCAAAGATTAAAGATCTGCAAGAAACTGATGCTGGTATTTATCAATGTCAAGTACTTATATCTGCTACAAATTCAATTAATGCAGAAGTAGATTTGCAAGTAAGAAGACCTCCTATTATCAGTGACAATACCACAAGAAACTTTGTAAGTATTTTTTTGATTATTATTTATGGTATATATATATGGTAGATATTTTGTATGGTATATTTATTTATTCATATATATTTATAATCATGTCATGCTTAGGTTGTCTCCGAAGGACAAATGGTACAAATGGAATGTTATGCTGGAGGTTATCCTTTACCTAGAGTATCATGGAGAAGAGAAAATAATGCTATATTGCCTTCTGGTGGAAGTATATACAGGTACACTAAATTTATTTATTCTTTAGAAACAACTATTTGAGTGTTGATATTCAATTTGATTATAATCCTTCAAAGCAAATTAATTCTATTCTATAATTTTTTAGGGGTAATATGTTGAAAATTAATGCAGTTCATAAAGAAGATCGAGGTACATATTATTGTGTAGCCGAAAATGGTGTAGGAAAAGGTGCTAGGAGAAATATTAATTTAGAAGTAGAATTTACGCCTGTCATCACTGTGCCTAGACCACGTTTGGGACAAGCCTTGCAATATGATATGGATCTTGAATGCCACGTTGAGGCTTATCCACCCCCAGCTGTTGTTTGGGTTAAAGATGATGTGCAATTGTCCAACAATCAACATTATAGGTAGTTATAAGTAGCTAACTAATTTATCTGAAAGACTATTTATGATGTTTTCAAATTTTTTAAATAATCCAAATTATTTTCAATCATATTTTTTTTAATTGTTAGTGTATATAATGTAATCTGTAATATTGTATTTAATTAAGACGACTTGAGAAATAATTGTATACATTATTTTAGCATATCTCAGTTTGCAACTGCTGATGAATTCATCGACACTACACTTCGTGTAATCACTATTGAGAAGAGACAA